GGGCTGCTGAGAGCGGAGATGACAGGACCTCCACCATCAGAAAGCACCCCCAGGACCCCGGATCGTCACTTCTAGGCTGTCACCATGGAAACTTTCCACCGTTGTGGATGGCCCACCACCAGAACAGACGCCTGTTTGTTTTTCCGTCCCTCCCCGGGGGGCTGGCACTGAGAGGCCTGTTTCCCTGACGCATCAAGGCTCAGACAGCCAAGGAAAGAGCTGCAATCGGACAGCCTGGGAATCACCCTGCCAAGGGGGCGGGGGTGGGGTGGGGGGGAGGAGGGAGGTACATAGTAAATGGCTGGGAAGACCGAAAGGGAGGGCGTTCAGAAGGGCTGGTGAGAGACAGTGGGGGGGCACAGGCTGTCTGTGTCACTGGGGCTTCTATTAAGGGCGTTCATGAGGCAGTACACACGTCTGGAGTCCCATCTGACCAGCATCCATAAACACCCCTGTTCCATTCATTCCGGAAGGGGAGCCTTAATTAGGCATGAAGAGATGTATCAGACAGCACAGCGCCCCTTTGGAGCTGCTGGTCCCGCTGCCATCTGGACGGATGCTTTCCTAATCTGGGACACCAGCAGCCACGATGACTGATGAGTTCCTCCGGCCCCATGCCCCGGGCCTGTGAAGGTCCAAATGCCCGTTGTTCTCCCTGTGTGCGCGGCTCACCGGGCAGGGTTTGCTCTGACCCTGTAAAGGAGGTGAGCAGACTTGGGCCAGCCAGGCCTGTGGGGAGCGGTCAGCATTCAGCATACAATGGCCCAACCGCAGGAATGTACAGAAATACCCTGGAGTGAAGACAGAACCTGGTAAAAGGCCACCAGTGAGCTACAGCCTCCACTTTGTCACCTCTACCATGGATGATTATTTCTGTTTTGGCCCAATCCACCATATAGTTTTTGGGTGTTTTATGACATTTTTTGGGGGGGATGGAAATGCAAAATAAGTTCATTAATTATGAAGGCCCCTCCAGGCGTCTGGGATTGGATCCAACAAACATTTATTGATCAACTGCTGTGTGCTATGCATCACACCTAGTGCTGCGATGAATACAGATGAAGAAAACAGTCCCTGCCCTCGGCAGGCTTACAGTCTAAGGACAGTCATTGGACGAGTGCACAAATCACTATCATACAAGTTGGGGTATGGTCAGTGCCATGAGAAAGGTACAAATAAAGTGCTATGGTGTTTCAGCAGAGGGAGAGACCCCAGCGGTTGGTGGATCAGGAAGGACTTGGATGAAGGATGCGCTCTCTGCGTGGAACTCAGAAGCAATCCAGGAAATGAAAACTGTAAGGCCAAAGGCACAGAGACAAGGAAAACATGGTGCCCCTTCCAGGAAGCACGCCACTTCCTGATTGGCCAGTGCAGGGCGTGCAGGAAGAACAGGGATCTGATTGGGTGGTTTGTAAATGCCAGGATGAAGACTTGAACATTTGTTCATGGGCCAGGGGGAACTTAATCGACGGCTTGCGAAGAGCTGGAAATGGAAGTCACTGCACTCTTGTGGGGGGGGGCTGGGAGTGTGGGCGCACACACAAGGCATTCTGGGAGAGGAGACTGCTATGCTAAGGAGTGGTCTGGAGGACAGTCGAGGGTGAGGTACTGGGAAGGGTGCTGAGGGAGCATGTGGAAGAAGAGTCAGAGATGATTCGAGGGAGCCAGGCACTGTGGCTTATGTCTGACATCCCAGCTACTCAGGGGGCCGAGATCTCAGACTCGTAGTTTGAAGCCAGCCCGGGCAGGAAAGTCCATGACACATTTATCTCCAATTAACCACAAAAAAATTCCAGAAGTGAAGAGGTGGTTTCAGTGGTAGAGGACCAGCCTTGAGTACAAAAGCTAAGGATCAGTGCCTAGGCCCCGAGTTCAAGCCCTAGTACCAGAATGTTAAAAAAAAAAAAAAAGGTGACTTTAAGATCTCACTCTGTGTGGTTGAGATGAGTTTGAGTCTTCTAACAGAAAAACCAAGATGGCGGGACAGGGGAGGCACTCAGCCTCGGATATGTGGGGCTCAGCATGCGGCTACCACAGCAGGTGGAGTGTGTCACCATGCCACACGCACCATCTGAGCCAGAAGCTGAGGAGGCGTGGAGGGTGTCCCGGGGGAGGTGGTGGCTGGATTTGAAGGTCGGCATGAGGCTGCTGGTGGGAAATTCGGTGTATGTGTAGGGGCGCTGGATGGGTGGTTTGCATTGGGGGGGGGGCGGTGCGGAGAATCCTAGGGGAAGAAGGGACCAGAAGAGAGGAAAATAAAGGACAGATCCACCCAGGCTTTAAGCTCAAGGTAGGAAATGTCAATAAATAACTGATAAATAGATAAATAAATATATAAATACATGGGAGAGGAGGAGAGAAACTATGAGAACATGGCATGCAGGGGCATCATAGGGACAGAGAAAGAGACACTGGGTGTGTGTGTGGGGGGGGAGAATGCTTTCAGCCCAGGGAAGGGCTCTCATTTCCTCAGAGATGGAAGGGGAAGATGAGGGAAGTGGACAAGATGAGGCCAGACCTCCGGTCAGGCGGCTCCATTTCTCCAGTGAAGGAGGCCGCGGGTGGAGGTGAGTTAAGGTCTCGAGGCAGATGAAGGTCTGCAGGATTCAGCGGGGATGGGACTGACCGTAACAGGGTGGCCGTAGCCAGGGCCACCGAAGGCCAGCGGCCAGTGCGTGCTCAGATGATGATTAGGTGGTGTGGCGGCGTGGAACTCTCCGGGTTAGGAAATGCCACGCAGGTGTATGGTAGCGGGCTTCCTGCCTTTCTCTGCAGGGACCCGAAGGCAGACTACAACCTACCTCTGAGACCATACTCTCCAAAGAGTTCGGGCTTCAAAACTCCCCGCAGGAAGAAGGTGCTGGTGGTGGCAGGCTCAGAGCTCAGGATTCACTCCAGGCCCTGACCTCTAGGCTTCACTATGGAATGTTCTGGAATCTAGCATTTTGGGTCATCCATCAAAGGCCCAGCTGATACAGCTGCCTGCTCTCTCAGGGCGCTGCAGGCTGGAGAAATTGTCTTCCGAAGCCTTTGAGATCCTCAGGATGAAAGGCTCTAGGGACACATAAAATATGAGACTAATTATTTCCCCCCAGCTTGGGAGAAGGTGGGATCACTCAGTCCCCACTGAGGCTGTTAGTGGGCTATTGCTTTTTTTTTTTATATAAAATATTCATTTTGTGGTGCAAATCCCAAATCTCAGATGTCTAGCAACAATAAGAACAAAGGGATTTAAAAAATGTAGTGATGCATTGTTGCCTCTTGGTTTGAGGCTGGGGAATGCGTGTGTGTGTGTGCGTGTGTGTGTGTGTGCGTGTGTGCGTGTGATTCTGGATAGATTTCTATTGCCTCTCTTCTCCTCCCGTCAGCCATTAATTTAAAGCAAAGATGTCCCGTTCTGAATTGCCACAGATTCACTGCGTCCAGCCTCATCTGCTCAGGAGCAGATCTTGATTACTTATCTTAACTCTCTTCACCTTCGAGATAATGGTTTTTTACTTATCTTTCAAATATGTTTTAAGACACTATTATTTATCGGGAAAGAGAGTCCATCTAACAAATCAAGCTAGCTAGTGCTGGTCCTCCCCTGCCTGACCCGTGATCCCAGCTCCTAAGTTATTGGCCTCAAGCCCAGATGCCCCTTGGAGAAGTGCGTGTCGTGTTTGGAACTGAATTTGGCCTTGGGTTTGTAGGAGAAAAGCAGTCTTGGATGTGAATCTTCGAGTAGACGGGAGGGGACAGTGGGAGGGGGTGGGACCACTCGGGCCTCTCCCGAAAGGATTGGAAGAAAAAAAAAAGAGAAAATCTCAGCTTTGGAGCTCCGTGCGGGCGAGTGTGACCATCAGGATGGGAAAGTGACAAGAAAGTGACATGGGCACAGCAGTATGGCTGCAGGGACCCCAGAGTGCAGGTTTGCAGAAAGCAATCAGAGAACAGCTGCAGAGCCGTGGAGACAGATGCTTCCCGCTCTGTCAGCGCTCCCTTGCCGGGAATCTGCAAGGCACCTAGAAAGACACCAGTGTGTGTCTTCAAAAGGATGACATTTCTCTCACCAGTGCCCTTTTCAAGCCTTTGCTGGGTCTGCCTGGTGGCAGAGGGGAACTACCCTGGCAGCGAAGTCCCAGGATCGCTTCCTGGCTTTGCAGCACATCCCCACGCAACTACATGTTCAACGCTCCTCTGCCTCATTCTGGAGGTAAAATGAACCCTCAGAGGAGGGTCTCAAATTTTCCAAAACGTCCTCTAGGACCTGCGACCTCTTCAGGACCGTCTGCTGCTCCATCCGAAATCCCTGGTGCTGATCAGTCTGTCGGTCTCACTGGACAGTCCCTCACGGCTCCCTGAATCTCCCCACGGTGGTAGATACTCGTCTGGGACGCGTGTATCACCTGCGGCGTAGCCCCTGGGCAACAAAACTCCAAGTTCATGGCGCGAGGCCTTCATTCCGCCGTGGCCTCTGCTCCCCGCTTTTCTTGTGCTTCCCAGTCCAACCGAACTCAACCTCTCTCCTCTATGCAGAGCACCGCTCTCGACTGACTCAAGCGGTCCTCTTTGGGCATCTGCTGCCCAGAACTTTCCAACATCTCCCCGAGGTCTGGGGAAGTTGGCAACAGGTGTCTGTCCATTCATCCAAGAACTTAAGAGTCCCCTCCGACCCTGGAGACCAGGTTGTCACCCACGTCATGGGACCGACTGGCTTCTCTTTATAGCAAGTCCTTTGTCCCCCAAAGCTGGACTGAGTCTCCGTCTGGCTTGGGCGAGTTCTTCACACCCACTTCCTGTGGCTTATCTGCCTACCGCTAGATGAACACCACACAATTATAAATACTCAGGTCAATATATATATGCAGGTTTAGAGAGATATATATATTCTGGTCACTGTTTTACACTTTTTTTTTTAAACAAAGAAAACCACTAGCCTGCTTGTTGCTATGTTTGTGCCATTCCCGACTCCCATCTGGCCTGAAATGTGAGCCACCGAGTCCTGCGCGGCTCCAGCTCTACGTGGCCCCATCACATTGGCCCACGGTCAGTTTTAACGCTCCCTGCTCGTGCAGATGCTTGAGGGCCTTGAACTCCAAGGGCATGGTGTGGGGGCTGGCCTGCGAGGTGTAGCCATACTTGAGCGTGTCGTAATAGTGATACTTGACGGGGTTCTGGTTCTGATCGAGTGGGAAGGGCCAGAATCCGTAGAGGTAGATTTCATTACAGAAGCGTGTGGCCAGCGTGTACATTAAGAGCCCGGTGGTGGGTCTTTTGATGTGGACTTTGTTAGTTAGCCAGTATCTGAAAGAAAAAAAAAAGAAATGTGTTGACGAATCATCTTTCCCAGAAAGAGGGAAATTATAATTTTTTGTTGTTGTTTATTATTAAGGTGTTGTCCAGCGGGGTTATATCAGTTAATAAATACATTTTTTTTTGTCGGTTGTGGGGCTTGAACTCTGGGCCTGGGCATTCTCCCTCAGCTCTTCAAGTCAAGGCGAGCGCTCTACCACTTGAGCTACAGCGCCACTTCCGGTTTTCTGGTGGTTTATTGGAGATAGGAGTCTCACCGTCTCTCCTGCCTGGGCTGGCTTTGAACCGAGATCCTCAGATCTCAGCCTCTTGAGTAGCTAGGATGACAGGCGTGAGCCACCGACACCTGGCTATAAATACTTTTTTTTTTTTTTTTTTGACAATGTCAACCCTTTGGTTTGAACTCAAGAGTCTTGAGCTTTGTAGGCAGGGGTTCTACCACTTGGACCACACCAGTAGTCTAGCTTTTTGCTGGTGAAATTTTGGATATGGAGTCTTGAAGACTTTTTGGGGGGGACAATGTCACCCCCTCTTTTGTTTCCTTTCCCCTGGTTTTCCCCTCCCATCTCCACCCACAAGTTGCATAGTTCATTTTCCACAGAGTGTCTGCTGAACTCTATGACTGCATTTGTTCACCCTTCCTCAGGAAGAGGGAGCGTGTGTCCCGCCTAGCACTCCCTCGCATTGCAGCTGACAGGTCTCAGGCTCACTCCCTAGAGGACTGGCAATTTATTAGACAACTGGACCAACCTTGGCTGTGTGCTTTCCCACAAAGGAGTCTACCGGACTGTCCTGAGCTCAAAGGGGACACACAGACACAAAGGAACTTCCCCCGCTACTCAAGAGGCTGAGATCTGAGGATCATGGTTCAAAGCCAGCCTGGGCCCGAAAGTCCATGAGACTCTTATCTCCAATGAACCCTCAAAATGCTGGAAGCAAAGCTGTGGCTCAAATGGTACAGCACTAGTTTAACCTTAAGCTTAAAAGCACCCAGGGCCTGAGTTCAAGTCCCAGGACTGGCACACACGTGGGGTCATGAAAGAAAACACAGTCGAGTGAGAAAACAGAGTGTTAGTCCCTGGGCGTTGTGGGCGCTCTGCGCGGTGTGGGCGCAGGGTCCTTGGTGTACCATGGGTACACAGAGAGGAAGAGGCGGCCCCTCCCACAGCCAGGAAACCAGCTGCCAGACGGCTTGACTGAACAGATGGTTTGGTCACCGCTGTTCTGTGAAACCTCTTTCTGTGGGACCTGAGTTTTCTCTCTTACACATGGATGGAAAACTGCCCAGATGATCTCTAAGAAACCCTCAGGGTCTAGTATTCCAAGAGAACGAATTCCAGGTCTCATTACATCTGCTAACCCAGACTTACCAGACTGTGTGGACTAACCTCTTTTTCTAATAAAAGCTTCCCCTTCCCCTACTTACCTTACTCCCTTTAAAAGCAGTGTATTTACCCTGGTTGAAAGATGTAATTCCTCTCTGTCTTTTCTTTTTTTCAGTACTAGGGTTTGAACTCAGGGCTGCTTGCTATGCTTGTAGGCAGGTGTTCTACCACTTGAGTCACATTTCCAGCCTATTTTGCTTTGGTTATTTTTAAAATAGGAAATCAGACCAGCCTGGACCACAAACCTTCCTTTGATGTCTTTTGTGCCCAGCTTATTGGTTAAGATAGGGTCTTACTCTCCTCCCCCCCACCCCCCTGCCAGCTCCCCATGCTGGGATATTCTTAAACAGCGAATCTCAGTCTCTGCTTTGTGAATAGTTGGTATGATAGGAATGAGCCATGAAGCCTGGTATATGACAGATGTAATCCTTTTTTTAAAATTGTTTTTATTATAAAGGTGATGTACAGAGATGTAATCCTTTTTGATTTTACTTTACTATCTTATTAAGTAGTCGTACAAAGGGGGGTTACAGATAGAAAGATGTATTTCTCCACTACACATTCCTGACTGCTGTGACTCTACACTAAATATTGTTCACATTTTTATGTCCTTAACCTTGGTGGGACCCCATTCCAGAGGTTCACGCTTGCTAATGGAACAAATGTCTGCTCTCCACCGAAAGCAAGGACCAGCACAGTACAGCTTCTGTGCCGATACTCACCTTGTGAGTATCACCAGGGTGGGCCTTGTTTTATAATCAAGCACACCAACTACATTCATGCCAAGTGTGAGCGTATGCCAGGCATGAGCAGTTACATACCACTGAAGGATGGAACTGTTCTGTGATTCACCATGCTTTGAGCTAAAAAGCTAAAAGCCAAAAGGCTGGTGGGGGTGTGTGCAGGGGAGGGGCAGGCTCCCCAGAAACCCAAAAGGGGCATCTCAAAGCTAAGGGGAATCCAGCCAGGTGCCGGTGGCTCACGCCCATAATCCCAGCTACTCAGGAGGCTGAGATGAGGATTTCGGTTCAAAGCCAGCCCCAGCAGGAAAGTCTGTGAAAGCCTTTTTTACATTTTATTTTTTTATATTTAGTTTTTTTGCTGGTACTGAGGCTTGAACTCTGGGCCTAAGTGCCGTCTCTGAGCTCCTTTTGTTCAATTTTAGCACACTACCACTTGAGCCACAGAGCCGTACCTGGCTTTTTCTGTGATTTAGCAGGAGATAAGTGTCTCAGGGACTTTCCTGCCAGGTCTGGCTTCCAACTGCCATCCTCAGATCTCAGCTTCCTGAGCAGCTAGGATTACAGGCGTGAGCCACTGGTGTCCAGCTCCTAAGACGCTTATCTCCAATTAACCACCAAAAAGCCAGAAGTGCAGCTGTGGTTCAAATGGTAGAACACTTGAAAAAGCTCAGCACCGAGGCCCTGAGTCCAAGCCTTAATTAAGAATGGCACTGAAGAAGAAGAAGAAAAAGAAGGAACTCAGAAGATGCATTGCATCACTGTGTTTAGAGTGTACATTACTCTTTGAGTCAGAATAGGGGAAAGATTGCCTAATAATCCATTTAATTCCATCAAATCCTGCCCTATTCAAGCTAGGAGAATGCCCTGGAAGGCTTTCCCAGCCCTCTGACTGAGGAGAACCTTGCTCCTGGTGTGACCTGAGGAGCCTCCCCTCCCCCTCGCCACCGTGGGGGTGGCCGTGTCCCACAGGGCCACAGCGGGACACCGTGCCAGCCTCGTGGATGGCCCTGCAGACAGCCACAGTTGTCCCGTAAGCCTGTCACTTGACCCCCTCCCCCTCCTCCTGGTTCATTCTGGAAGTTTCCCCAGGGTCTGGGGTTTCCAGCAGGGAATCAGGACAGAGGCAGAGCACAGGCCAGCCGGTCTGGCCACCACAAACTCAGTGCCGGGCCTCATCATGTACACCCCCAATAAAACCCTGCATGGTCCGAGTGGACCCCTGCCACTCTTCCTCCTTCTCCTCCTCCTCCCCGGAGCCCTCTGGACATTTCTCTCCAGAGCACCCCAGGTTCTATGGTGAACATCCTGAGATCAAGCAAGCTGCGCAAGCACCTGGTTAGATACGATGTGGCAGCCTCGGGACCCCTGCCTCCCCTCCCAGCCCCGCCTTCCCCCGCACCCCCCAAGGGGGCTGCAGCGGACGCCATGCATTGGCTGTCAAGCCAGGGCCTGGTCCCTGCCTGAGACCTCAGCGGCTGGCTCCCTGAGCGGATTGCAGGCCGCACACCAGCCAAATGCCACGCTGGGGATGAGGGCTTTGTTTATCTGCTGGTCGAGAGGCCTTTGCCAGGGGTCGGCTTTCAGAAATGGATTTCTGTTCAGGCTAGCCAAACCCGTGCCTCGATTGGGGGTGGGGGGGAGGGAGAAGCTGTGGTGAGCCATTTTGAAGCCAAGCACACACCTGCCCCGCTGGTGAACTGCCCCCCCCCCCCAGCCTCCTGGAAATACTCCCTTTGTTCCTGCTCTTCTCCCGCTCATGCTGTCAGTCACCCTGCCTGATTACCATGAGCTTTTGTTCTTCCTTTCCTCCCTGTGCCAAGCGACCTGGGGTTGGGGTGGGAATTTGTCACAGGATGGGCTGATCTCCCCCACACTCCCACGTCTCCTGGGTACAATTCAGAGACATCCGCAGGCCCCAGGCGGGTCTCGAAGCCTTTGACATTTGACCCCGTGGGCTCCCCTCACATCTCTCAGGATATCTGTGATTGAGTTGCGGTCATGTGGCCCATTCTGGCTCCCGGGGGACAATAAAAGTGGCTTTCCCCACTTTTTCTTTTTTTTGTCAGTCTTTTGCTCAAGGTGAGCGCTCTACCCCTTTGAGCTATGGCACCACTTCTGGTTTCTGGGTGGTTAGTTGGAGATAAAATTCTCACTGGGACTTTTCTGACCAGGCTGGCTTTGAACCGTGATCCTCGAATCTCAGCCTCCTGAGTAGCTAACAGGTGTGAGCCACCTGCCCCTAGTTCCCGCCCCCACCCCATCCCATTTTCTTGTTCCCTGACTTGCAGAACTTCAAGGCCTTCTGTGAAGACAGGAATAAGAAAAACAATTGCATCCTAGATCCCCAATTTCCCGGCTGGAAGAGAGTCAGTGTCAGCTCGCATCACAATTGGGGGTCAAGGTGAGGAACCTGCCTCCATTGTGCCAGAGCCCTGGTTGTGGGGTCTGTTAGAGGAGCCCCCGCTACCCCACGCTGAGGATCCCCAATCTGGTTATGCTTGGCAAATATTCATCTGGGAGATGAAAAATGGAAAGCTGTGGAAAAGGAGAAGTGGGAAGCCAGCTGAGCACGCAGCCCTGTGGCTGGGGAGGGGTGAGGAGAAGGGGCAGGATTAGGTCAGGTACCACCCAGAATTGCTAAGCGGGAAGGGAAAAGGTGTTAACAGCCAGTGTGAGAGTCCGGAATGAATGAATGAATGAATGAATGAATGAATGGAGGGACCAGCCTGTTTCCTATTCTGTCTCCTTGGTTCTGGCCGGGCCATGAGGGCACCACTTAATAAGTAGTTTGTAATAGAACCGGACTGAGTTATGCGGGAACAAATCACTCTTGATTTTCCTTTCCACCTCCTCAGTCACTCTGGCCAATTTACAGACTCGGTGTGTGTGTATGTGTAGGTGTGTGTGTATGCCTGACTTGTGATCTACTTTTTTCCTTAGGATATCAGCTGGGTGTAAAAACACAAACTAATTAATTTTGCCTTCCCTACGGGGGTTAGCTGGGTGAATTGACAATGCCCCATCTCCTCTACCAGTCTTGAGATTTTAATTAGAAGGCAAAGTCATCTCAAAGCAGGCAGTAATTATTTTTCTTTTTCAAATTGGCCACCTCCCTAGGTGTGACGATTGGGCGTTATAGTTTATGGTGCGGACATCAATCAAGGGGGGATTGCCAGAATTGTTTTAAAACACATGCCCCGCGGTCTCCTGGATTCGTGGCGCGTGGCCATTGTGGCTGCTGGAAAAGCGAGGGAGAGCGTTTTCTGCAGAGAAGTTAATGACACTGTTGGACAGAGCAGAGATGGCTCCTGGAGGGCAACTGTGACTGTGCGAAATCTCTCTCGGGTTGAATCTTCCCAGCTTTGCCTTGTTGGAGAGATGTGGCTTCAGTCTCGGGATTCGGGGTTGTCTTGGGGAGCTGGTTACGCTGTGGGAAGGCTGGAGGCTGATTTCTGCCCCCTGGGTCTCCATTGGTGTTCGAGTTGTGCTACACCAGACTACCTCTAATACAGCCTGGGTCGCCCAGGCCCTCCCCAGAGTGTGCCAGAGACTCTAGTCGTGGCCCAGTGGGACTGGGGATGCACTCCAGATCTCAGCCTGAAAATCCTCTCCCTGCCTCAGGTTCACTGTGCTTCCCGTCCACGTGCTTCTTGCCAGAGTCTGGGCACCTGGCCTCCCCTTCAGTGGGCAGGAAGGCTCTGCAGCCCTGGGCTTCTGTCCCCACTGATGGGCAGCGGGGCCTGCTCTGCTCACTGGCCCTCCCCCTGGCCCTGAACCAGGGCCTCCTCAGGCCAACGCAGGGCTTTCCTTGGGCCTCATTAGTCACCAGTCCTCAAGGCTCGCCTGCTGGGCCAGCGGGCAGCTGTCCTGCTCGACTGGACGGCCCTCTCCACGGGGTGCACAGCCTCTCCAGTTGTTGTAATTGAATTAGCGCCATTCATGACCAGCTGCCGACCACATTCCCGTTTCCTGTGCCGGGCGTGACTGCTTGTTGTCCTTCCTCTTGGTTTCTCTCCTCTCTGGCCCACCTCCAGCCAAGGCCTTCTGGCTGCTCTGCAGGATGGCGGAGCCACGGAGGCCAGCGCTGTGCTGGCACCAGATAGCGCCAGCACATGGCTTCTGTGCTGTGTCCCTTGCTCTTTGCGATGGCAGGTCACTGATTCAGAGGCCCTGGAATCTGGTGGTGGCACCGCAGATCACACAGCGTTAGCTGACATAGAGAAGTGCTGGAGTACAAGGGGAAGGCACCCAACCCCATTGTTACAGGCTGAGAAGATGTCCTTCCCAGATGTATTGGTTCAAATCTTCACTTCCAGTATCTTGATAGGGGACCTTATGTTTTGTCAAGATCTTTTCTCTTTTTCCCTTCCTTCCTTCCTTCCTTTTTTTTTTTTTTTGGGTCCGGTCGTGGGGCCTGAACTCTGGGCCTGGGCGCTGTCCCTCAGCTCTTCAGCTCAAGGCTAGCGCTCTACCACTTGAGCCACAGCACCACTTCCAGCTTTTGCTTATGTGGTGCTGAGGAATCGAACCCAGGGCCTCATGCATGCAAGGCAAGCACTGTACCACTGAGCCACCTTCCCATCCCCTCTAAGCATCTCTTTTTATTTTCTTGTTGAAACTAACATATTTTGATTTAGGTAGAAAGATGTATCATGACCCTGAACTCTGGGCCTGGGCACTGTCCCTCAGCTCTTCAGCTTTTGAGCTTTTCAGCTCAAGCTCTACCACTTGAGCCACAGCGCCACTTCTGGTCGTCTGGTGGTTCATTGGAGATAAAAGTCTCACAGACTTTCCTGCCTGGGCTGGCCTTGAACTGCGATCCTCAGATCTCAGCTTCCTGAGTAGCTAGGAGTACAGGCGTGAGCCACCGGCACCCGGCAGTTTTGCTTTAAAAAATTGTTTTTTTAACCTTGGCTGGCCTGGACTGCAGCCCTCCACTTACATTCCACACATATCTGGGGTGACAGGTGTGCACCACTGTGCTGAGGGTTTTGTTGTTCTGTTGAGATGGAGTCTTGGGAAGTATTTTTTGCCCCTGCTTTCCTATCTGCAACTGCCACGCTCCCCCCTCCCTACCCCCCCCCCGCCCCGTTCCACCTGCTGCACAGGTGGGATTACAGACACCATCCACCAATGCCCTGCCAGTCCCTTGGTCTTTTCTTCACGTGGCCCCGTCCTGCCCCTCCCCTCCAGCCGCGCCGTGTCCGCCCTTTCCATTGCACTCAGAGCCTCACGAAGTTGGAGGGACCAGGATACCACGTAAGACCATGTGAAGGCCTGACGGTCCTCTTCCCCCACTACAAGCAGGGTGGCCCACTTGTTGCTCTGCAGCAGCTCCTGAAGCTTCCCAGAGCTCCTGCGGGGGGCGGGGGTGCCGCGTTCTCAGGATGAACAGTCTGTTTGTTTAAAGGGCTCATTACTGGGGCTTAATGCTATTTTGACACATGAAAGCGAGTCAATTATTGCTGGAAATAGCTTTGGCTTGCAGAGATTTCTTCCAGGTGGCGGGCTGCCTGGTCTCCATCCATTGGCTTTTTGCTCTCAGTATCCAGGGGCAGCTCTTATTCTTCTCTTATCCCTTTGAACTCTTAAACCATCTTACAAGTCTCCTTCTTCCAGGGAGCAATGATATTTCAAGCGTGGAGATGCGGGTTGCTGTGGCAGGTCTATTTTATGATGGCATCAAGTGAAAAGAGGCCCTGGAAAGGTAAGGGCTGCGGCCAGCCAGGCTCGAATCTGAACAGGGCCCACTTGGACTCCATCAGCCATGAGTGTAGATGCGGATGTCCTCCCCCTCCCCCTCCGGGGCCAGTCCTGGGGCTTGAACTCACAGCCCAGGGTTTTTGATCTCAAGGCTAGCGCTCTACCACTTGAGCTACAGCTTCAGGCTTCTTTTTGGGCAGTTCATTGGAGATAAGAGCCTCGCTGACTTTTCTTCCAGGGCTGGCTTTGAATCGTGATCCTCAGATCTCAGCCTCCTGAGTGGGTGGGATTACAGGCGTGAGCCATTGGTGGAGCTGGCTGCCCCTCCTTTTTTTTTTTCCCCTTCAGGTTCTTCTTAGGTCTTTCGCATGGGTTGCCTGTGACAATCCTACCAAAATGAGTCCAGCATTCATCACAGGCTTGGGTACCTCAGAGTGAGTGACTCCGGGAGCCTCCCAGGCCCCATTGGAGGGGCCTTCTAATGTCCCCTGATTGGTGAGCAGATTGTGCCCTGAGCTTCCTATATCCTCAGGGCACAGCCACGATCTGCCATGTGTTTGAGTGGAACTGGATGTAGACTCAGAGATCAGAGCACACACACACACACACACACACACACACACACACACACACACACACACACATATATATGTACAATATATGTATATATTATATGTACATACATATACATATCATACCATTATATAATATATATGCCACATATAAGATTTATCCTCTAGAAGATATAAAATACATAATATATATAATCTATAACTGTATCACGTATATGCCACATATAGTATTTACCCTATGTAATATATAATACATATATAATTAATACCTATGGCAGAGAATTATACAACATCTCATATATAATCCCCGTATGGGGATTACATTATCTATTTGTAAGGGGTGCCTCACACTTACAACTGAAGAGTGAACTCTCTTCTTCTATGCTCCCAAACACACACAGGCTTTGGGCAGACCTCTTCTTACAGGAGAGACTCACCACCCACCACACCCCTTTCATCCTCAGAGTCATCCTGGGTTTTCCTCTTTCTCTCACCCATGGGTATGCCCTCCATAGCACCTCTCATCAAACCTGGCTGCCGGTGCAGCTGGGCCACAGCCCCGCCGACCCAGCGGCTACGCCACCCCCGGCACCAGCCTCCTCTACGCCATCACCCCCTTGCCTTCCTTCTGTCCAGGCGATTGGCAACAGCCCCCATCACCTATGCCAGGATCGTTCTTGCTAGCTGGGAAGGCAGCTGCGTGACCCTGACAGCCACCGTCTCCCCTTCCGTGTTCTCTGCTTTTCCAGACTCTCAGTACAGACTGCAGGTAGGCATTGCCAACGGGTTAAACCCGGCATGCTGGATGACAGCTGCACACCGGCCCCCACCCCTATTCTGAAGCACAGAGGCTCAGGTGGCTTGCGAGGGTCATCCAGGCCCTGGGAGTCGGGATGGAAGCGTACCCCGGGGCAGGGCGGGGTGGGGTGGATCCCCCCAGCCCCCGGAGGTGCTCACCCTCGCACGGCGTGAAGCAGGCGCAGGGATGGGTAGGCGGTGCGCACGTTGACGTGGTGCTTCAGGATGAGTGTGTTCACCCACTCCACACGCTCCTTGCCTCCGCGGGCCATGAAGGCCGGGATCCACAGGATGCTGCCGTTGAGGCCGTGCAGCCGCTGCAGGAGCTTCTCCCTCCACGTGGCGTTGACCAGGTCTTCAAAGGCCCGCTGGATGACTGAGGGGTTCATGGTCACTAGGTCCGTCTTAAGCCCCACATCCTGGGCGTATTCCTGCACCGGGGCCAGGTTGCACCTGCCGGAGAAAACAGCGATGTGGTCCTTTGGGGGGAAAGGGCATCCATCCCCCTCTCATCCTGTCCCTCTCCTTGCTTTCACTCATCCCCAGAGAGCAACCCTAGGCACCGCTGAAGTCATGGGGCTCCAGGCGGTGACCACAGAGGGAGTCTGGAAGGATGGATTGGTGGACAGGTGCACAGAGAGCCTGCCTCTCCATCTGTTAACCCAGGAGAACCCCTCCGGGAACTTGTTTAAACCGCCAAGATCCGGGGGTTCCTTACCTGCAGATCTAGGTTCAGGTGAAAGATGGGAGTGGGTGAGAGGCATGGATGACACAGAGAGACAGAGAGAGAGAGAGAGAGAGAGAGAGAGAGAGAGAGAGAGAGAGAGAGAGAGAGAGAGAGAGGGAAGGAGAGGGAGAGGGAGAGAAAAGGGAGAGGGAGAGGGAGAGGGAGAGAGAATGTGTGTGTGTGTGTGTGTGTGTGTGACAGAGAGCAAGAGAGCACGAGAGAGTATGTGTGTGTGTATGTGTGAGAGAGAGACAGAGAGACAGAGAGGGTGAGAGAGAGAAAGGGAGAAGGAGAGAGAGAGACAGAGAAAGGGAGAGGGAAAGGGAGAGGGAAAGGGAAAGGGAGAGAGAGGAGAATATGTGTGTGTGTGTGACAGAGAGAGACAGAGAGAGCAAGAGAGCACGAGAGAGAGAGAGAGAGAGAGAGAGAGAGAGACGGAAGGAAGGAGAGAGAGAGAGTGTGTTTTAAGCTAGTCCTTTTCTGGTACCAACAGTTTAAGAAACAGTAAATCCAAGGGTTCATGTTCCTGTTCTGGCAGTCTCTTGGGGCTGGAGTCAAGGCTCATGAGGTAGAATGTTGGTCTAGCATGTACAAGGCCCTAGATTCAATTCCTAGTGCAGAAAGAAAGAGAAAGAAAAAAAAGACCAAACCCATGACATTCTAGGCACAAAAAATGTACCCAAAGCTTTTTCTGCATCCATTGAATTGATCATGTAATTTTATTTTTGTCCTTGGTTCTTATCATGTGATTTTTTCCCCCCTGCATCTCTTGAACCGATTGTGTTGTGTATTACACTCACTGATTTGTGTATGTTGAACCATTCTTGAATCCTTGGAGTGAAATCAACGTGATCACAGTATGTGGTGTTTTTAATACGTTGCTGAATTTGGTTCACAAATACGTTTTAAAAGGATTTCTATATTTATGCTCACGAGGGAAATTTGTTTATATATATGTGTATATATATATATATATATATATATATATATATATATTTGCTGTGTCTGTGTCTGGTTTTGCTAGGAGTGTAATACTGGCTTCATAGAATGGGCTTGTGAGTGTTCCTTAGCCTTTTATTTCATAGAATACTTTGAGGAGCTTTGGCGTTAATTCTTCTTTGATGGTGTGGTAGAAGTTGGCAGTGAATTCATCTAGACCTGGGCTTTTCTTTGTTGGGAGACTATTCTTGCTTCAATTTCATTGCTTGTTATTGATCTAGCTAAGTGATTTATATCCTCTTGGCTGAATTTCGATAGGTCTATCTGATGCATCTAGAAATGTATTTATTTCTTTTAGATTTTTCCCCTTCGTTAGAATGTAAGTTTTTAAAATATTCCCCAATGACCCTCTTGGCTTTCCTTGGTATTTGTTGTGATATTTTCATCTCTAATTTGTGTGTGTGTATGTGTGTGTGCACGCGCTCACACTTGAACTTGTGGGCATTCTCCTTGAACTTTTGTGTTCAATCACTTGATTTACAGCTTCACTTCTGGATTTTTGGTGTTTAATTGGAGATAAGAATCTCAAGGACTTCGATGCCTGAACTGGATTAGATCTGCAATTCTCAGATTTCAGCCTCCTGAGTAGCTCAGATGACAGGTGTGAGCCATAAGCACTGGGCTCTGTTTTTGGTTTTTTATTTTTGTTTTAGTCTCTATTTTGCTAGTTTCTGCCAGGGAAGGTACCTGGGATATGTACGTATCTGTGTGCTTTGGCCCCTAAATGTCTGGGAAAGTACTTCATACACACAATCCTGAATCAGGCACCATCTCTTCATGCTACCCTTGCAAGCTCCTTTTTATTTTCTTGGTGCTGACTGGCTTTCCTTTCTAGTCTTGGTTCAGTAGCACAGTTTCTGTGTAGCCTCAAAGGTGGATAGAAAGACAACATGGCATCTCACATTCCCAACTACTCTCTGCTCAAAGATGCTTTCTATGGAAGACAATTGGCCAATGAGATGCTTGTCATGGAAGACAATTGGCCAATGAGATGCTTTCCATGGAAGACAAATGGCCAATGAGATGTTTGCCATGGAAGACAACTGGCCAATGAGATGCTTTCCATGGAAGACAAGTGGCCAATGAGATGCTTTCCATGGAAGACAATTGGCCAATGAGATGCTTTCCATGGAAGACAAGTAGCCAATGAGATGCTTTCCATGGAAGACAAGTGGCCAATGAAATGCTTGCCATGGAAGACAATGAGGAATGAGTGTATGTATCATGCTGGTTTGCTGCTCCTGGTTGGAGGCTCGTGGTCCTATGGTGGCCCCAAGACCCTTAAGAGATGTGACCCCCCCAAGGAGATCCAATGCCTGCATTTCCCCAAGAATGGGACAAGAAACCAGATGTCTGGGTTTGCCCAAGATTAAAAGGTTTCCTTTCTCTTCTTACTGCCCATGACCCATTCCTAATGTCTTCGGCTTCCATCAGACAAGCCTGCTGCAGTTCCTTCCTTCCTTTCCCTCCCCAGCACTCTCTCAGTCCATCTTTAGACTGGAGGACTTCAAAGGACAGGGGTAGGCCCACTGGTTCTGCCAGGTTCAAAGACCTGGCCAAGGCTAAGGAACCTTGGTCCCCAGGTGATGGTTGCTCTCGAATCCCAGGGGATACAAGAAGAGTCACACCCATGTCTTCCCACATCCTTGGGTTCTGGGATTTGGACGATCATGCTGTTCACAAGCCCGGGGACAAGGCTCTCTTTGCACCAGATCAGGCCCAGTGGAAATGTGAGACAAGGTCTGCACTTGTGCCAGGGCTGACAGCTAGGCCGAATGAAACTTGAGGCTCTGTGTGGCCTACTTTCGACCAGGAAACAGAAAAGCCTTATTCCTCAGATTGTATGGCTAAGGGACCAGGTGTCAGGACCGTGAGTAACTGTCTAAATATCCTTGTGGGGAGAGAGAGAGAGAGAGAGAGGGAGAGAGAGAGAGAAAGAGCGCTGATATGTTAGAGAAAATGAGGATCAAATACAAGATTCAAGTCACAGCTTCACTTCTAATATAGGCACGGTAGAAGAATGCAGGTACTAGTAGAGTGCTATCTTCTAGGACACTGGAAAGAGATTTGCAAACTTGGACAGACAAATGAGCCAGCCCAGGATAGATATTCTTGGCAACCTTTAGTACCAAGCTTGTGAAGAGCCAGTGAATTGTTCAGCTTTGCAGGCTGTATTGTCTCCGTGTGACTTCACTCAGTTCTGCACTGGAGTGAGCAAGCAGACATTTACCACGTGAAAATGAGCCAGAGTGGCTGTGTTCCAATAAAACTTTATTTATAAAAGAATAGGCTCGAGGGTTATAGACTGCTTGCTTCTGGTTTGGATCAGTAAGTGTCAACTTTGGGTATGTGCCAGAATCACCTGAGCTTCTGAGGTTGCTTTCTCCTTCCCCACCACCAGATAGCAGATTGCTTTAACTGGTTAAAGGTACAATCTGAAGGCTGGGGAGAGGGAGAGAGGGAGATGTTCTTACACAATTCTGATGTGTAGTAAATATTGAAAACAGGGACAGATGGGCAATGCTACCTTTCAATCTGATGTCAGCCACTTAGGGCCAGGGCACCTTCCCGGGGTGGTTACCTTATGACAAAGCTGTGTGTGTCAATCTCCTGGCCGCAGCCGCTGTTCAGCAAGACCCCCGAGTTGCCCACGATGGCACAAGTCCGGAAGTGCTTGTTCTTCAGAGGGGACGTTCTGGGGAGGAGCTCGTAGAGGTTCTGAGACACGTTCATCGTGCTGTCCCGGTCAAAGATGTAATGGATGATATCTCCTGGCTTCAGCGTCCCTTTGAGGACAGAAATATCCTTCTCGGCATCCAAGAACTTTAAGATTTGTTTCCTAGGATAAACCAAATGCATATGAGGACAGTTTTCATGTTGCCAGCTATTCTTTGCCAACTCAACCTTGGTTTGTTTATTCATTCATTCATTTGTGGGGGACAGTAGTAGAGTTCAAACTTAGGGACTTGAGCTCGGTAGGCAGGGATCCAGGGCTTGAAGCCATCTATACCCCTCCCCCCTCCCCCTCCCCCCTTCCCTTTTTTCCCTTTAGTTATTTTTCAGATGAGGTCTTGTGTTTTGGTATGGGATCTGATCTTGGACCACAGTCCTCTTATCTCCAATTCTCCCATAGCTCTGATCACAGAGATGTACCACTATATCCAGCCTGTTTGTTGAGATACTGTCTGGCTAACTTTCTGTCTACACTGGCCTCCCAAACTTGATCCTACCAGTTTCTACCTCCTGAGTAGCTGGGCTTCTGTGAGAGGGCCGCCATGCCCAGCTTCACTCAGACTTGCTTGCCCCGGATCACTGTGTAGGGCAGCCAACAGGTAGAACATGCGGACGTCTAGGCTTTACAGAGGATACCTCACTGAGGGGTGAATGTCCCAGCCCCTTGTCACAAGGACAAACCCAGACATTTGGTTTCTTGTCCCGGTCTGGGGAAAATACAGACATCTGGTCTCCCTGCATCGTGGCTCCTTTTTTAGGGAACTCAGGGCCACCATAGGACAAGGAATCTCCAGTGAACCAGCATGACACATGCGCTCATTCCTCATTGGCCAGTTGTCTTCCACGGAAAGCATCTCATGGGCCAACTGTCTTCCATGGAAAGCATCTCTGAGTAGAGGCTCTCTTCCCTAGGGGCAGATGGGCTTGTGGGACTGAGAGGTGTCTTCTATCCATCTCTGAGGCTCTGACAGCATCATGGCCTGCCATCCATAGGGTTGGTCCAATTGGTGGGGTGTGATCTTTGTTCCTTGATTTGTTGTCTACTGTGGAGTTAGTAAATGTTGACATTTCTGGTCTTATGGGAAAGGGCCTCCTCTGTGATGCTTTAGAACAAAGTGACTGAAGGACAGCTCTCTAAGTGCGGGCTAACTTTGACTTAGAGGAAAGGCTCTGGCACAATCTGGAGGAGATGAACTGCTGTCTTCATAGAATTACTAGGATAGTTTGACCCCAATACACAGCTGCCTAAGGATTCAGAGCATTTCAGCTGGGGTTACTAAGTACCCTAAAGACTTTTTTTTTTTTTGCTAGACTTGGGGCTTGAACTCAGGGTCTGGGTGCTGTCCCTGAGCTTATTTTGTTCAAGGTTAATGCTCTATCACTTTGAGCCACAGCGCCACTTCCAGTTTTCTGGCAGTTGACTGGAGATAAGAGTCTCACAGACTTTCTTGCCCTGACTAGCTTCAAACTGTGATCCTCAGATCTCAGCCTGCTGAGTAGCTAGGATTATAGGTGTGAGCCACCAGCTCCAGGCTCCAAAGACTTTTAGAAATGATTCAAGTCATGAAGAGAAAGGAATTGGACGCTCAGATCAAGCAACATTCATTTTGTGTCCTGTAGTGAACCCCCATCGAGAACTGGCAGGTTCTGGTCTCCTGCCCCCAGAGTGCAGATACTCTGCTGGCAACTTCAGAGGTCCTGATCTTGGGGGAAATCCCGGTCAGGTGACTGATGTCTGTCTATGGTTGGAAGACTGATGTAGCTACAGGGCAGCGAGAATCCTTGCTGCTTTTCAGTCACACTTCATTCCATTGTTACAATGCAAGGGAACTCATTCTTGCTGAACAGTTTCATACCTCTATAAAAATGTTTTTTTTCCCCCCCATGTTACTAGGGTTTTAACTCTGGACTTTGTGTTGATTAAGACTGGGTTCTACCATTGAGCCATGCCGCTAGCCTTTCTTGCTCTGGTTATTTTTGAGATAGGGTTGTGCTCTTTGCTTGGGACAGCCTGGACTGTGATCCTCCTTACATTTCTCACACCAGCTTTTATCTGTTGACAATGGAGGGGATTCTAAAGAAAAATTATTTTATTTCGGTCTGTGATCCTCCCTCATACCTTATGATGGAAAACAAAGCCATTGTTTCATTCTCTTGGCTTTCCTAAGTCCTGAGCGCCTTAAGCACTGCTTATATTTGTTGGAAATTGCTACTCTTTCCTTACAATTACTTATGCTGAAGTATTTAAAGGCAGAGTGAGTCCCCAGAAAGCTCATAAATAAATACCTCTGTGAGGGAATTAATTTCTAACTAATTATGAGCAATTGCTATCAATTATTGAGTCTCATTCCAATTTACTTACAGAATCTTTTCTTCCGAATCATTTTGGTGATTGAGTTGCTGAGGTGGAGGGACATTATTTTTCCCCCTCGGACTAAAGGCTTGTTATGGGCCTGTCTCAGTAAGGGTCATTACGGAGGCCAAAATCAAGTCTTCTTCAAAAGTGGTAAGGTGTGTGTGTGTGTGTATGCATTTCTCTACCTTATGGTAAAGGAAAGAACAAGAAGGAACTGCAGGAGGGAAGATTTCACCATGGATAGAAGAGTGGGGGTAGTGGTGGCTCCTCCCAAAATTTATGTCCACCCTTTAGCCCCTGGAATCTGAGACTATGACCTTATTTGGAAACGGCATCTCTCTAGATGTAATGAAATTAATAATCTTCCATGAGATCATCCTGAGTTCCCCAGAGGGCCCTAAATCCAATCACGCTGTCCTGCCAGAGACAGCAGAGGGGACTCCACAGACCCAGAGGAGGGGAAGGGCCTGCAAAGAGAGAGGCGTGGGGGCCACAGCCACAGCCACAGCCGGGGCTGGGCCGCCAAAGCTGGAAGAAGCCGGGATGGCTGTGGTCTGAGGAATCCCATTCTGAGAAGGTCAGGGCCGTGCTTCCCTGGGTCACACCGATCTGTCTCTTTAAGGACAGGTGTTGGGCCACATCTGGAGCTCATCATCACCTGGGGAGAGGGGACTTTAGAGCCCCAAGGCCTGCAGGAGGGGACTATGCACTGTGGATAAATGGGGGGGGACAGTGACAGGGGACGTGGATACCAGGCAGGCCACCCAGGAAGTGATGCCTTGGGCTCCAGGAAGAGGAGGTCATCTGTGGACAACCCCCCCACCCCCACCCAGGGGTCCCCTGCCCCTGACTTGAGTCAGGACCACCACCTCCCCTGTCTGCAAATGCATACCAGGCTGCAGGGCCCCTAGGTTGGTTGGTTGGTTTTGTGCCAGTCCTGGGGCTTGTACTCAGGGCCTCAGAGCTGTTCCTGAGCTGCTTTCTTCCTTTCTTTCTCCTTCCTTTCTTTCTTTCTCCTTCCTTTCTTTCTTCCTTCCTTCCTTCCTTCCTTCCTCAAAGCTAGAGCTCTAGCCACAGCGCCACTTCCTGGCTTTCTTTGATGGTGAATTGGAGATAAGAGTCTCACAGATTTTTCCTGCCTGGGCTGGCTTTGAACCACGATCCTCAGCTCTCAGCCTCCTGAGTGGGCGAGGGTGACAGGCGTGAGCCCCCAGTAGCAGGCTCTCCTCAGGTTCTGGTGTCCCAGTGATAGTTTTACTAGATGGTGCCCGCCTCCCCAGGGAGGTAACCATTTCATTTCTCTCCTAACTTCTTGAAGATGATGGGCGGCGGCCATTTGCCAACCATGGCCCCCCGCCCTCCCCCGCAAAAACAAACCAAAACCAAAACCAACCAGGTCTGCCTTGTCCTCATGGCAGTTACCAGTACCTGATCCTCAGCGACAGGGTCTGGTTGTGTCTCCAGGTGGAGGTGGCGGGGTGGGGGCTGTGCTTCATGCTTTCATTACCTCTGTCAACAACCGCTGGAGGCAAGGAGCCATTTATTACAACTTCAGCTCTGGGCGGGAGATTAAAAAAAAAAAAACAACCACAAGACGAAGGTTAGATGCGTTCTGTTAGCATGCCAACGACAAGCCGAATCGCTCTGTTTTTGCTCGGGTTTGAATGTAAACTTCAGAAGAGCAAAATTGCAGTGATTACCTGAGAAGGGAAGGGAGTCTATTTATCTTCTAGAATGCACAAACCCTCCCCGAGGTACCCCTGCTATAGATGTTCTTGGAAACAGGAAGAGGGGTGAGGGAACTTCTTTATCTCCTCCTCCACCCTCACTGTTTGGGCCCAGGGAAACCTGACATGGGGCTGCCTTTCCAAGCCGGGCGGGGCGGGGAGGGGGGGCGCCGGGAAGGGGCGGCAGTAGTGGGAAGCTCCAAGCAGCCAGTCTTCAGCCGCCCAGTGTGTGCTATGCAGGCTGGCAAACTTAAAAATAAAGACAAAACAAAGCCTCCCAAGCAGGACAGTGCCTTTGGGACCCGTGCCTTCTTTCTTTCTCTATGCATTTCCATTCCTCTCTTGTTGACATAGAAACATCTACTCGTTTCAGAGTTATTCTCCCACCCTCCGTCTGTTTCTTGGTTGCTCTCTCCTTCCCTCCCTTCCTCTCTCTTTTCTCCCTTCCTTCCTTTTCTCCCACCTTCTCCTTCTAGATGCTAAGTAAAGGATTTCCACTTGCTTCTGTATTCCAGAATGGTCGAACGTAGCAGATGCTCAATAAATAAGTGTTTGTGGAATTTGACTTTGGCATTGATCCTGGAAGGGCCTGGCGTAGACAGAGGTGCTGGCTGGCTGTGTGTGTGTGTGTGTGTGTGTGTGTGTGCCTGTGGTGGTTCTGAGTATAAACCATTTTTTCCACCCGACACCAGGCATTAGAAGACTTGCTCCGCTGCAGAGGCTTGGAATCTATGCTAGTAGGTTTCTAAGAAACTGGGTTACAAGGATGCCTTCCCAGGCGTCGACCAGCCAGTCTGCCTTCTGCAGATGTATGTGGGTCACCTCTAAGGTTCTTTTTTTAATTTCTGCCCTGACAGCAGCTTCTCCCCATTAGAATGATAAAGTGGATTTGTGCTGCTCGATTCTGGAGCTTTACAGAGCTCAAACCAAACGTCGCTGTCCTGTGCATTTATCTTAGGATAGTCAAGTTCAAAACAGATGGAATCCTGCTAGCGAGGTCTGAGTCCAATGCTGCCATTTGTAGGTAGAGAAGATTAAAAACAAAATGAAACGGGAGCGCATTGTCACACGCGGGCTTGTCCACCTCCATTCCCGAACCCGTCCTGTCCCTCTGGAGTAAGACAGATGGACATCTTAGCTGAACGGCGCTCTGAAAAAAGCTGCCCTCTTTGGAATTTTTACTATTTTCATGGAGGAGGCAGAGAGTAGAATGGGAAAGGTTCTGTAAGCTGTGTATCTGTGGGAAAAAGATTACTCTACCGCTCTGAGACACAGCTTTTCTATGTCTAGGAAGAGGATAGCGAAGAGGAAGCCGGGGGCTGGGAATGTGGCTTAGCTGCAGAGTGCTTGCCTAGCATGCATGAAGCTCTGGGGGTTCCATTCCCCAGTACCACATACATAGAAAAAGCTGGAAGTGGCTCTGTGGCTCAAGTGGTAGAGTGCTAGCCTTGAGCAAAAGGAGCTCAAGGACAGTGCCAGGCCCTGAGTGCAAGCTCCAGGACTAGAAAACAAAGAAGAGGAGAGCTCTGAGATCCTAGAGATCTCCAGCCACCGATGTGTGCGTCATCTTGTGAGGGTCCAGGAAGAGTGCACATGGATACCGCACACTTCTGCACATGTGCCTGCTTCAGTGCGGCTATAGGCAGGTGCAGCCACCTTAGGGCTATGAGCTAGCTGACCCTGACCCTGACTGCAGTTCTCACTGCTTTAATGTGGGAGGTGTCATCTTCCCTAGTTGATGCTGTCCTCTGTGTTTAGTGACTGGGTCTGACAGCCTATGGCTCTATGGAGACTGGGGTGTGTGGCTCTCAGGAAGGAAGGGCTTGTAGACCTACGCAACCGTGGAAGACTTGTTTGGAAGCTTCCAGAAGAGGTTTCTAGAATTCTCTTGGTGGAAACAGGAAAAGGTAGGAGATAAATGCTGCACTGATGGTGGTAACATTCTATTTGTTCCTCTGCTTCCTACTGTAGTCTCAGATGGGATTCTATTTTTGTTTTTGGCTGTCCTAGGGCTTGAACTCTGTGCCTGGACACCGTCCCAGAGCTTTTGTGTTCAAGGTGAGTGCTCTACCACTTGAGCCACAGCACCACTTGGTGTTTTTTGTTTTTGTTTTTGTTTTTTGTGGTTAATGGGAGATAAGAGTCTTATGGACTTAGCCGGGTTTGAACTAGGTCCTTAGATCTTGGCCTCCTGAATAGCTAGGATTATAGGTATGAATCACCAGTGCCCAGCCTTGAATACAATCTGAAACAGCCTTAGGACTTCAATCATCTGGCTGTGTTACTATCTTGCTGGAAACACAGGAAAATCATTCTGGCCTTTGTACAATTAAGAGGATGGGCTGTTATTTGACAATGTCTCTTCCCCAGGGCTGTACCAATGGCTTCTAGTCACAAAAGGCAATCATGCAGTTTCAGGACTCACATTCGGTGGTCAGGGTTCACATTGCTGAGTTGACTTCTTGCGTATATTAAGAGGTCTCAGCAATGTTCTCAAATGCTTTATTTCTATCTTAACCTCCTAATTGAGCCATCAACCACAACGATATTGTCTTAAAAGTCCTGGAACCCTGCAGGCTCTCCACTGCTCAGCAAAAATGGAAGTGACCAGTAAGTTCTACAAAGGGGGTGGGGCTCTTTCCAGAAAGTAACTCTTAGCCATCTGCATTTTCTATCTTGGAAGCTTCTAGACCTTGGACCGTATCATGTGATCTTTCCATCATCGACAGTTCTTCCCAAAAGCGATTAGGGAAATGCAAAACCAAAGTGAAATGAAACAGATCTATTTGCTAAGTAAGACGGGCACCATCCAGCAAAGAGGAGAAGCAGATTAATAGCTGCCTCACAGCAAAAACAAATGAACACAAAATCTAATTTACAAACCTATTAGATTTGCTATGTAAGCTGTTCACAGCTGATCTGATTGTACCTCGGCCTCCAGAATTCCTGCAAGACAAAGGAAATGCATTATTTATAAACTCAGCTCTTCTTCTCAAAGCCATCTTCAATCACCAGGAGACCCCTCCCCCTACCCCTCCCCTCTCCTCTCTGCTGGGCTCACAGCTCCCAGATGGAGGATGAGAACTCACTCGACATTCTCTAGAACGGACAATATTTGGCTCTCAGCATGAGCCAGGCATTTTATAGGGAATTGGAACACCCCCCCACCCCGCAGCCCAGGTCCTGCCCCATCCCCTTTTTGAACAGTTTCTCTCAGCCAAGTTGAGAGAGTAGAAGTCACCTCCCTTGGTATTAGCCATGCGGTGGCGTGACTGACTAAGCATTGAGTCTGGTATGACACAGTATGACTCCGTACTAAGTCTCCTCTTGCTTTCATTCATGCATGGGAGACCTTGTCTACATTCACTCCAAACTTGACACACCAGAAAGTCAATAGAAGGAATAAGATGAAGTCCACTGTGCCTCTAACCAAATGTGGTAACTTTTTTTTTTAAGCACAGGATCATTTTGTGGTGGGTGGAGAGTGGGAGACAGTCAGGCAATGCGGGCCCCATGTGTTCTAAAGCCCGGCCAGCCTCACAATGGAATCAGACTTTCCTGCCTGGGTTGGCTTTGAACTGAGATCCCCAGATCTCAGCTTCCTTAGTAACTAGGATTATAGATGTGAACAACCGACTGAAATTCGCTTTTTAAAAATAAAAAAATTATTCATTAAACAAAAATTTATTGGGATATTGACACACATACACACACACACACACACACACATCCTAGTTACTGTCTTCATGGAATAGAGCTTAAAGGACAATACAAGAATTCATTCTTGGGGCTGGGAAGGTGGCTCAGTGGTAGAGCGCTTGCTTTCCATGCATGAGGCCCTGGGTTTGATTCCTCAGCACCACATAAGCAGAAAAAGCTGGAAGTGGTGCTGTGGCTCAAGTGGCAGAATGCTATCCTTGAGCTGAATTGCTGAGGGACAGCGCCCAAGCCAATTCTTTCTCTTTCTTTTTTTCTTTTTTGAGTCCTTAATTCCCTATCAGCTTTATAAAGTGTAATTGACAAGTTGAAATAAAATATATAGTCAGCAATTGTGGTTTCTACTTCTATGGATTCAGCTAACTTCAGATAAATTTTTTAAAAAAAATTTTTCTTACTGTTGTATTATAAAGGTGGTGAACAAAGGAGTTATATAAGTCAGGTAAAGAGTACATTTCTCTCTCTCTCTCTCTCTCTCTCTGTGTGTGTATGTGTGGACATCATTCCCTAAGCAGTAAGAGGTAACCATGAGTTACCCCTTAGCATGAACAATGCCATGTATTCTAAGTAGACATAACCTAACATATGCGCACACATGAAATGCTACACTCTTTTATGTGGATTTTGGTATCTGTAGGGCGTCCTGTAACCAATCACCCACAGAGACCAAGGATTATGATGATAGTAAATGTGATGTTTTGATAGATGCATACATTGTGAAATGATTAGGCCAATTAGCACATCCATAGCCTCACCTACTTGTTATGTTGGTACAGTGACAGCACCTGACAGGTGTCCCCTGGTATATCCGGTCCTATTAACCAGAGGCCTTACACCACACACAAAAGCTGCAGTACTTATTCCTCTGGTCTAACTGTCACCTTGTATCTGTACATCTACCCATACACCTAGACCCTTGCCTGCCTGCCCTGCAAACAACTGGTTCTGGGCCTTTCTCTCTCCCACCTCTAGGCTAGGTCCTAGGGGGAAAGCTGAGTCCTGCTGATCACAAATCCCTAAACTTGTTTTATTTTTATCTTTGTTTGTCATGGGGCTTGAACTCAGGGTCTTGGCGCTGTCCCCTAGCTTCTTTTGCTCAAGGCGAGCGCTCTACCGCTTTGAGCCACAGCGTCACTTCCGGTTTTGGGGAGGTTAATTGGAGACAAGAATCTCACAGATTCTCTTGCCGGGGGTTGGCTTTGAACCAGGATCCTCATAACTCAGCCTCTTGAGGAGCTAGGACTACGGGTGTGAGCCACCAGCACCCGGCTTCCTGATTATTTCATGGGAGTACAGGTTGGATGCTTTGGAGAAATCTTGACTTTCATATGGGTGAAGCTCTTCCTCTCACAGTTGAAGGACCGAAGCTTGGTTTTGTTTCCCAGTTCCAGCTTTCTGAGCTGAGTTACCCATTTCAGTGCAAGCCCCCTGGGGGTGGGCATGAATCATGTATTTCCTATTTATTTTCCTATGCTTTATTTCCTATGTGCTGATGTTGTTTTGACAGCAGGGGCTTTGCTGACCCTGAAGGGACTTGTCCTTCCTGAAGTTAATCAGTTCCAGAGTTAGCAAAGGACTTGCCTGGGAACGTGTTCTTGGAGTACAAACCAGGCACCACACAGCACACACCCCACCACCTCCTTTGCGAGGTCTCAGGGCCACTGTTCTACCCAGACACCCCAAGGCCAGAAACCATAGGAACAGGGACGGCTCTACTCCCCGGGGCCCACAGAAACGGTATAAAGTAGCAGCCAAGCTTCAGCCTGTTTGCCTTGCTTTCCTCTGCTTAGGGAATCCATAGTAATGACTGCTGTCTGTCCCCCCCCTCCCTTAGCCCCTGGAGTGGTGTGGTATAGCTACTCCTTCTGGCATCTGTATGACAAATCGTCTTTCCAAAAGCACGCAGCTCTTGCTCCGTTGGCTTCCCCGACCCAGATAATACTGAAACAGGCTGGTTCTCTGTCTTGCTCATTTCCTTCGCTTGCCTGGTACCTTGCCAACTGGGGCTGAGGAAATCAAACTTCACCATTAAATGAGACTTCTCTCCTAAAATCTCTCCAGGAGCGTGTGCCCCTCTTCCTCTGTGTTAATGACGTCTGTGTATGATGCTGCTTTGCCTGTCAATCATCCGTGGGAGGATCACTTAAAAAAAAAAGACTGTAGATGTTTGGCTCTAGAAAGAGTTACAGGGATCAGTGAGGGATTCATTGCTGCTGTTTTTGCTAATTAGGGTTTTTTGTGCCACAAATGCTACTCAAATAAGTGGACACCTGTTTGGTAGAGGGACAGAGGAAGAATGATCAGGTGAGAAAAATTTGCTAAAGATAATTGAGACAAGGTGGAAATAATGGCAACATGGAGGCTTAGATCGTTCAAATGAGAAACTAGAAGGCACTCGAAAGAACTCTGTGAAGCAAGGTCTCACGTCAGTGCTGACAGTGGCCCACTTGACTTTTCTCAGCCATAGTAATGTAGATTTCCAAAGTCTACATTTTCACTGAGTGCCCCTGCTTACACCTCTAATCCTAGCCACTCAGGAGGTTGAGATCTGAGGATTGTGGATCTAAACCACCCGGTGCAGGAAAGCCCATGAGACTGTTCATCTCCAATAAACCACCAGAAGAACTGGAAGTGGCACTGTGGCTCAAGTGTAGAGTGCTCACCTTGAGCTGAAGAGCTCAGGGACAGTGCCTGGGCCCAGGGTTCAAGCCCCATAACAACAACAACAAAAAAGAGATGAAACCTGACAAAGCCACATACCTTTAGATGTTTCAGTGAAAAGCAATTAGGAAATCTAAAAAAATGGAATTGGCACTGTCTCTTCATCTAATTAATGAATATGTGAAATACTGAAATTTTATTATTTTTCCACCAACACACGACAAACATATCATGCCTTCGTCTACAATGTGTTGGTTTTGATACACGCACACTAAGGCCAGTTGTTTCTGGGCAAGGTCATGTTCAATGTCTAGCTGTTAGAATTTCCCACAGTTGTAGTTTCTCACCAGAGGGGTGGGCTCCAAGAAAACAAACGATCAGGAGCTGACGGCTTTAATTAAGAGTCTGGACCCAATTCAAACAGTTGATCAGTCTTGAGAGTAACAAGATTAAACTGAAGCCACAGCTTGGGAATGTGTAGTCGATGGTATTTTATTTCCCTTCACGTTTCCTGGATCTCCAATGTATATTTTTTTTCCGATGTGTGCATAAAGATCGCTGGGTGCCTGATGGCTGGACCCCCACCCCCAGTGGCCACAGTATGACTCCGTGGGAAGAAAATAAACAGTGAGGAACAGGATGATTTGGGGTGAGTTTCCCAGGCAGGACTAGAAGCTGAAGGCTTTGGTTAGTTTCAAGAGTTTTCCCTTAAAAAACTATATATGCACAACTGACCTCAATCATCAGAAGAGTGACATACGGAGGTATAAATACATTCATAATATTGCACAATCTTTGCCATCACCCATCTCCAGAATGCTTTCCTCATCCAATTAGAAAGCTTGATTCCCTCTCCCTCCCTCTTCCTCCTCTGCCTCCCTCCCTATCCCCTACTTCCCCCCCTCCCCCTCTCTTGATCCTGGGGCTTTAACTCAGGGCCTGAGTGCTGCCCCTGAGCTTTCTTGCTTTCTTGCTCAAGGCTAGCACTCTACCACTTGAACCACAGCTCTACTTCTGGCTTTTCTTTTTCGGTGGTTTAATTAAGAGATAAGCATCACAGGTGTTCACGTCATTCACCACATAGCTGGATTTCCGCCGCCCCCTCCCCCAATCCTAGTCCATGACACATGCAAAGTTCTGTATGCTCTGGTTTATGAGTGGCTACTTTTTCCTTTAAAAAGCCAGACAGTAGTTATTTTAGGCTTTATCTGCCAAGGGGAGAAACTTGAAGACATTCACACATGTCCTTAAGGGGCAAGGGAGAAAAATTTCCACAAATGTTTTACTGATGACCTTAAAAAGATAACAGTTCAGTACATTTTCTTTTGTACTCAGATTTCATCAAGTCTGCTAATAAGAAAGGTTTAATTTTTTTTGGAGGTGAGGGGGCAGTAAAAATCCAGTTTTGTTTAACTGGGGCTCAAAGTTAGTATTCCTGCCACCGTGATGCACAGACGATCTCCGTCTCCCACGCGGCCTGGCCTTGATTTTCTGAGACACTGTGATCTTCCCTCCGGTGAATTCATGTGTTGCCTGAATCTTTTCTTTTGCAATTTTCTTACCCTTAGAGTGCTGGGGAACTTTCTATGGGGGAGAGTCCTCGTGACTGAATTCGAGCTGAACTAATCACTGGCTCTTGATCTTAGATGATTCCTTAAACCATCTAGAAGCTTCCATTTGTTTCCCTCCTCTGTAGAATGAGTAAGACTATTGACTTC